GTCTTCCTGCGGACAAACAGCACTGAAGAAGAGTTTCTGGCCAGCTGGCCGGGTGATGTCATCTGCTTCTGCTCAGGACACTGCGTCCTGAGATGTCCGGGTTTTCCACAGGTGTAACATCTGCGGTTACCAGTCAGGAATGGCTTGGCCCTAAGTACTGCAGGTGTTGGGTGAGGGGAAGCTTGACTCACCGGCGTAGGAGGGGTTGCTATGGGTGATTTCCCTCCTTTCCAGCCATTCGGAGGAGCCTTGCGATGGTCAGACACCCACGTGTGGACATAGGTGTCTGACAGATCTGCTGCAGCTTTGGCAGATGCAGGTTCTCTCTCCAATACAAACTGTCTGATGTCGGCCGGGCAGAGATGTAGTAGCTGATCTTGTATCATTACAAAATAAATAGCACTTTCTTCCTCTACCACAAACCTAATAAATTGCTTAACATTCCTTCCCCTGAAGTACAAACATAATAATAAAAATAAGCAAACTTATAATGAGTGACTACCCAAAAAATATCCAAAAAATATATCAAAATATATATAAAGTCCCATACACCTAAAGTCCAAATAAAGTTCACGTATCCAAAATCTTTACAAGTGATCTCTCAATTTGTCTTTATCCCCGGATCAGATTGGTGATATATTCCAGAGAATCTTCAAGTGCCTCAAAAAACAAAAAACTAAACATAGTGTGTTACCCTAAAAATTATATATTATGTGCCACACGTGTAACATGCAAAATACACAATAAAAGTGTCACAGCAATCGTGAAATCTCCAGGGTATAAATTGAGTTATTAACTTCACTGCACACAATAAACGAAGTGCATAATTACCCCCATCAAAGATATAATCAGCATAGAGTCCATATTAAAGATGAAAATGTCTCCACACATGGATCAAATATCGTCTCCTGCCTTTGCCCACAGACCTCATAAACAGACCAGGGATCAGTATATATATTAAAATATCATCAATTTTATTGTAGCAACTTACATTCAAGTTGGATGAGTACAGCTTCCATACACTGGGAACGTCCCATAAAAAGAGCCCACTCCTTCGTGGTGACTGATTTACAGCCCCTTATTCATAAAGCCGAGAGAGCCAGGTAACCATGGGAGTCTCAGGGGTTGGAACCACCGCGTGTTCCTGAATCCAAGATGGCCGCCCGGCACTTCCGGAAAACGTCAGTACGTCACAACGTCACGTGCCCCGGACGCGTTTCGTCACATCCGGACTTTTTCAACAGTCCGGATGTGACGAAACGCGTCCGGGGCACGTGACGTTGTGACGTACTGACGTTTTCCGGAAGTGCCGGGGTGGCCATCTTGGATTCGGGAACACACGGTGGTTCCAACCCCTGAGACTCCCATGGTTACCTGGCTCTCTCGGCTTTATGAATAAGGGGCTGTAAATCAGTCACCACGAAGGAGTGGGCTCTTTTTATGGGACGTTCCCAGTGTATGGAAGCTGTACTCATCCAACTTGAATGTAAGTTGCTACAATAAAATTGATGATATTTTAATATATATACTGATCCCTGGTCTGTTTATGAGGTCTGTGGGCAAAGGCAGGAGACGATATTTGATCCATGTGTGGAGACATTTTCATCTTTAATATGGACTCTATGCTGATTATATCTTTGATGGGGGTAATTATGCACTTCGTTTATTGTGTGCAGTGAAGTTAATAACTCAATTTATACCCTGGAGATTTCACGATTGCTGTGACACTTTTATTGTGTATTTTGCATGTTACACGTGTGGCACATAATATATAATTTTTAGGGTAACACACTATGTTTAGTTTTTTGTTTTTTGATCGCCGGCACTTGAAGATTCTCTGGAATATATCACCAATCTGATCCGGGGATAAAGACAAATTGAGAGATCACTTGTAAAGATTTTGGATACGTGAACTTTATTTGGACTTTAGGTGTATGGGACTTTATATATATTTTGATATATTTTTTGGATATTTTTTGGGTAGTCACTCATTATAAGTTTGCTTATTTTTATTATTATGATCTTGTATCATGAGATTCTCCAGGGACTCATAAGAGTCAGCTTTCAGTCCTCTGGTCCACTGCCGGAATGTGGTGCGTAAGCGACTTACCACATCCGTGTAAGAGTCCCCAGGTCCCTTTTGCAAGGACCTAAACCGCTTGCGGTACACTTCCGGGGTCAGCTGGTACTTCCGGACAATGGTTTCTTTTAGAGCTTCATAATTGTCGCCCTGCCCCTCTGGCAATTCGAAAAACGCATCCAGGGCCTTGCCTCATAGTCCTGGTGTCAGGTACCGAGCCCATTTTGCTTGGGGCAGATGGTACTGATGGCAAGTTTTTTCAAATGACAGTAAATACACATCAATGTCACCGTCTTTTTCATCACTGGAAACTTGGCTGCTGTGCCCATGGCCAGAGAGGTGTCCCTGTGCTCTAGGGACCTGAGGTTCTGAGCCTGTCGCTGCTGCTGGAGCCTAGCCATCTCCAGCTCGTGCCGACTATCAGCTTCTTTTCAGCCTGGTGTTCCTCTCTGGCAGCCTCTCTTTCAGCCTGGCATTCCTCTCTCTCAGCCTGGCATTCCGTAGCTTCTCTGTCAGCCTGGCATTCAAGGAACCGCAGGTATGCCATAGGATCCACCTCCTTGATGCGTTCCATGGCTTCCTGCATCTAAGGAGAGTCTCTGCTGGTTACAGGCACTCCGGTGCTGGCCTGCTCATGCTGTGGCGGGGAGATACCATTCGGTGATACTCCAGTGTCAGTCTCTGTATGCCCATCCTGCGAGGCCATATCTGAGCCACTGGGATCGGAGGTGGTGAGAACCCCTTCATTTTCAAGTTCACCTGAGTTCTGGTCTGCCCGGATATCATGCTCCCATAGGTCGCAAAGCAAATTTTCACGAGTTTTGCCACCCACGTCGATTCCTTGTGCCTCACATTCAGTACTTAAATCACTTTTGCTCATGTTCCTGTATGCTGCTAAACCAGGCATAATTGCAAGCAAAGGTAGAATAGAAAGCAGAAAAAGGAAGGCGCTGTTGCTATATGTCTCTCTGTATATATATAAAAAATATGCACCGCTTGTCTCTAAGGACTGTTTCCACAAAGGTTACAATCCTTCAGTGCAGAGCTAATTCCCAACAATGCACTGAAGCTCTAATGTAGAACTATCCCACGTACGCTGCCAGCCAATATGCATTAGACCCCCAGCCCTTCTCACCAACTTGTGACCGAAGGACTAGCCAATCTAAAAGCGCACTGTCACGTGCGTAACAATGCCACACTCAGCTGCAACCTGCACAAATATTTTCCAGCTCACTGGACCACAATCTCTATGTGTTGCAGCCTGAGAGCGATTGTTACTGGGTCAGGTTAATTACGCAATTAACCCTTCCCACTGTCACCACCGCCTTTTTGTAAAGAGAAGGAGGAATCTCGCCAATCTTAGCAGTAACACTATGATGTTTGAATAAGCGTCTGTAAACACACTGTCACCATAGACAGATGTATGCAGAAGTTTAAAACACACAGTAGCGCTCCTCAGAGACAGGGATTCTTAGTTTGCATTAAAGAGCTTTAGAAACAGTTGAATACTTTCCAGAAAATAGGATTTATTACTAAAAAGGTCAAAATGGTGCAATAAAAATATTTACAGAAAAAGATGTAGCCAAAAAAATATATATATATATATATATATATATATATAAATACAGAGAGCAGTAAACACAGCAGAGAGATAAAGAAAGAAGTTTAAGAAGGTAGAATACTTGCAGAAGTCCTTGTTTAAGCAGTGTTCAAGCACCCTCAACAAAAGTGTACCTTTTCTCCCAGAGTTAGTTCCTGATGGTAAAAGGGAGATCTTTTCATCTTCCTTCTCCAAGCCTGACAGCTTATTTTGTAGTTCCCCAGCAGGGGGTGTCTCTGAAGCCAAGGGCCAATTGCCTCATTTGGGGAGGGGGGTCTAGGCGGAGACCCAAGCTAGAACCAAAATCCCTCCCAAGTTATAGCAGGGTCAATAACCTTCCCTAGGTACATGTAGCATCCTATCCACTGGTAGGATAATCTGCAGAATGATATTCTGAACGTCCAGATACCAGATTTGACATATCTATTTGGGAAGGTTAAGGAGATATCGCTTTCTGCTCTCGGGTAGATGTAATCTAGGGGTGTAAGATATCAGGTGACTTGTATTAAAATTACCTCTCTGAATACATGCTTTGTATTCTTGCAGGTATTTCTTACGAGAAATTATGAAAGTGTATAAAAAAGTGGTCTCCAAATGAGATATATGTTTTACTGCTATCCCGGAATGCTTTTGAAGTCCAGTGACTGACGGGTTTATAGCTTTACAATCAGCTTCAGAGCATTCAGAGCAAGAGTGGGTGTCAGGGCTCCCGGGTATGACCAGAGGTGTGTGACTGACGCAGGGAAACGCAGACTTCAGATATGTTATAAACAATATAATTTATTAACACTAACAATACAAACATAAACGCAGTGCAATACTAAAACATAATACAGTGCAAACAAACCAAACCAAACCACCCACAGATAACAAAACATACAATGCAAGCGTCGTCAGGCAGGCCGGGTCAATATCAATCGGGCAGGTAGGTACAGGGGGAGCAAGCAGAGAATGGTCGGGGGCACAAGCCAGGTTCAGCAGGTAGTGGGCAGCGTGGTACAGAGGGTCAGGCAGAGGGATGGTCAGGAACGAGCCGGGGTCAGAGCAGGAGAAGTCAGCAGAGGTCCAGATCAGGCAGGGTCAGCAACAAGACAGGAACAGGAACAGGATGCAGGAACAGGATACAGGGCCCAGGAAGAACACACACCAAGGCAGAGTCTGCAGGTCTGGCCATCCCTTAAATACACCAGTATAAGCAGTTTGAGGTGTTTGGCTGACTGCAAGGTTGAGTCTGTGATTGCTGGGAGCACCCGCTGGCCAGCCCTGGTACTGCAGCCCATAAGGCAGGTGAATCCCACCATTGCTGGCCAGTCCATTCCTGACAGTACCCCCCCCTCAAGGAGCGGCCTCAGGACGCTCCAAACAGTCCTAGCTGGGCAAAATGTTCCACCGCCCGGGTCTGGTAACTGGCGGGATATCAAAGACTGGCACACCGGGCAGGACTCCGGGCAGCGGCACACCGGGCAGGACTCCGGGCAGAGGCCCATCGGGCAGCGGCACACCGGGCAGAGGCACTTCGGGCAGAGGCACATCAGGCAGAGGCACATCGGGCTGGACTCCGGGCAGAGGCACATCGGATCACCAGGCGAAGCAGCAGGCACCGGGCCACCAGGCGGAGCAGCAGGCAGCGGGCCACCAGGCGGAGCAGCAGGCACCGGGCCCCCAGGCGGAGCAGCAGGCACCGGGCCCCCAGGTGGGGCGACAGGCACTGGGCCCCCAGGCGGGGTGACAGGCCTCAGGCCCCCAGGCGGGGCGACAGGTCTCAGGCCCCCAGGCGGAGCGGCGGGCGCTGGACCCCCAGGCGGAGCGACAGGTCTCGGGCCCCCAGGCGGAGCGGCGGGCCCCCAGGCGGAGCGTCAGGTCTCGGGCACCCAGGCGGAGCGGCAGGCGGGGCGCTGGACCCCCAGGCGGAGCAACAGGTCTCGGGCCCCCAGGCGGAGCGACAGGTCTCGGGCCCCCAGGCGGAGCGCCGGACCCCCAGGCGGAGCGGCGGGCGCCGGACCCCCAGGCGGAGCGACAGGCACCGAGTCACCAGGCACGACAGTGGGCTCCAAGTCAACTGGCATGACCGCTGGCACTGGGTCAGACATTGGATCGTCTGGCTGGACAGCGGGCATCGGGTCACCAGGCATCAGGTCATTTGGCTCGACAGCGGGCACCGCGTCATCTGGCAAGGCAGTGGGCTCCGAGTCAACTGGCATGACCGCGGGCACTGGGTCAGACATTGGATCGACTGGCTGGACAGCGGGCATCGGGTCACCAGACATGACAGCGGGCACTGGGTCATCAGGCATTGGATCGTCTGGCTCGACAGCGGGCATCGGGTCACCAGGTATGACAGCGGGCCCCGGGTCATCAGGTACCGGATCATCTGGATCAACAGCGGGCATTGAGTCAACTGGCCTAATAGGATCATCAGGCTGGATCAGTTCATCAGGCTGAGTAGAGGCATCAGGCTGAGTAGAGGCATCAGGCTGAGTAGAGGCATCAGGCCGAGTAGAGGCATCAGGCCGGGTAGAGGCATCAGGGTAGAGGCATCAGGCGAGTAGAGGCATCAGGCTGGGTACAGGCATCAGGCTGGGTACAGGCATCAGGCTGAGTGGAGGCATCAGGCTGAGTGGAGGCATCAGGCTGAGTAGAGGCATCAGGCTGAGTAGAGGCATCAGGCTGAGTCACGGAAAGCAGGTTCTCAGACGGCAGGCTCATCGGTTTGGATACTGGCAGGATGGTACTGGTTGGAAAGAATTTTCGCTTTTTTCTGGTTTTAACTACTGGAGCACTGCAAGTAAACGCAGGTCTGCAAATGAATGGAGCAGCTGGAGACAGAGAAGAGCTGGGGGATGGAACAGAGGAGGGAACAGTTGCTACAGAGGGCTTTTTTACAGGGTTAAAGGCAGGATAGGTGCAGCGAGTGGGAACAGGGTACTGACATGCGGTAGATAGCAGGGCAGGAGGAACTGTTGGGAATGCAGGAATAGAGCTTTGAGGAAATAGATTAGAAGCAGGACTGGGTTTTTGCAAGCTGACTGAGGCTGGGTGCAACAAATCTGTCCATGTCTGCAGTATGTGTTGAACAAAGCTGAGCTTACACAAAGCCTGTCTGACCAAAGACTGCACTGCGTTTATACAATCTCTTAGTATCTGTGGTGAACATGCAGAATAACGCTCCAGAAAGTAATCCACATCATCCTCTAATAACCACACCAGGGACTCTACCTGGTCGGCACTAAATGGTGGCAAAAATTCATCCCTGCATTTGGGGGTACCAGATGATACCAACTCCGCACAAACCTGAATCAATGGCTGCACCTCAGAGAATTCTGTGCCCTGATCTACTAGAACATGAGCGAGCCGTATACATTCTAGCAGTTCATTCCTGGGATACTCCTTCAGAGTCTGATAAGCATACTCTCTGTCATCAAACACTAGCAGATATAAATACACAACCTCATCAAGATCTATCCTTCCCAGCAACAAGCCAAGATGGCTTCCCTGTGCAGCCACTTCTGGTCAGGATTGGCCTTGGTGTAATGTCAGGGCTCCGGGTATGACCAGAGGTGTGTGACTGACGCAGGGAAACGCAGACTTCAGATATGTTATAAACAATATAATTTATTAACACTAACAATACAAACATAAACGCAGTGCAATACTAAAACATAATAATACAGTGCAAACAAACCAAACCAAACCACCCACAGATAACAAAACATACAATGCAAGCGTCGTCAGGCAGGCCGGGTCAATATCAATCGGGCAGGTAGGTACAGGGGGAGCAAGCAGAGAATGGTCGGGGTCACAAGCCAGGTTCAGCAGGTAGCGGGCAGCGTGGTACAGAGGGTCAGGCAGAGGGATGGTCAGGAACAAGCCGGGGTCAGAGCAGGAGAAGTCAGCAGAGGTCCAGATCAGGCAGGGTCAGCAACAAGACAGGAACAGGAACAGGATGCAGGAACAGGATACAGGGCCCAGGAAGAACACACACCAAGGCAGAGTCTGCAGGTCTGGCCATCCCTTAAATACACCAGTATAAGCAGTTTGAGGTGTTTGGCTGACTGCAAGGTTGAGTCTCTGATTGCTGGGAACACCCGCTGGCCAGCCCTGGTACTGCAGCCCATAAGGCAGGTGAGTCCCACCATTGCTGGCCAGTCCATTCCTGACAGTGGGACAGACAGACACCCTGGCATCAGCTAATTGGGTTTACAACCATCAAGGGTATCCAGCTGTGTCCTGTGCACTCCTGAATCCAGCACTCACGGACCACGTGTCACTCAACAGAGAGGGAGGGGGGAGCTGATTTGGAGTGAGAAATGATACAAAATGGAGGATCTTTATCAAAATGGATGTTTGCGTCCATATTTGTACGTACAATTGCTACAGAAGCTAGTGAGAAGTCTCAGGATACTCGCAGACCACAGAGTATTCTTAAGACTTCCTTAACCACTTCGCCCGGGTGGATGTCATATGATGTCCCGGGAGTGAAGTGCCTGCAGGCTTCATCCCAGTGTCAAAATTTATAGCCAGAGTTTCCCTGTTAAACAAAAGTGATTGGAGTGGCTGGACAATTGTGTTTGAAAAACCACTGTGCAAATACCGTGTGACATAAATTGCAACACCCACTACTTTATTTTCTAGGGGCTCTGCTAAAAAAATTATAATGTTTAGGGATTTAAGTAATTTTCTAGCAGAAAAAAAATGTTGATTTTTACATATATGTGAGATGTATCAGAATTGGCCCAGTATTGAAGTGGTTAAAGGAAAAATGCTATGTGAATTATCGCCATTTGGTTTTCACTTATCAGATAGTTTGAAGGAGGAAATATGGAATGGCGATTTTGTTCATTTTACTCTCATTGCTTCTGTCAGCTAAAGAATTTCTTTTTAGAGGTGATTATAAAGATGACAAACTACAAAATAACCAGTGGTAGGCCTTTTGCATTTATTTTACCATCATGTGTGAAAAGGTTCCTGAAGAAAGTTTGGGTCTTTATCAACACATAGACATAACATTGGAATCATATAAAAACTTTGGAGGTATTTCTTGGTTTTTCTATAATAAATCATTCAAGCAGAAATTAGCCGAGCACCCCAATTTAAAGTGGCATGCTAAAAATGTGGATTTATGACTCAGCTTACCATTTCCTCCAATACCATCTAGTCTAAAGCAACATGATACCTCTACTTTAACCCCAGCTTCTAGTTACAAAAAAAGTATTTGCTTTTCCTTTAATGATAGCCAATGCAAATGGCCTAATACGTTTACAGTAGGTATAGACACGAACATGTTTTTTGCTCAGAATCACACCCAGTTTTTAAGTGTTTAAAAAAATGACTTTAGCTAATCAGCAGCAAAGGAGGGAGCTTTATCTTAAAAGCCCCATGCCCGGAGAGGCTGGAAACATTGTTGCCAAGGTCTCCTGGGTATCCAGACAGACAAACGGTTCAGCTGCGAGTTTAAGGTTCTTGTTCTGTTTTCCCAATCTAAGCATTGATAGTGTGATCTCTGTAACTTACAGTTGTGATGAGATAGCAATAACTTCAACCTCTGTTGGATACCACAGTCAGTGACTCAATAAGAATGACATCTTGTGGATCTTGTGAAGTTTATTCCATAAACTGAGAGTGTGACAATCGCGACGTCAGACCCCTGCCCTTCTCACCAAACTCGTGACCGAAGGACTAGCCAATCTGAAACCGCAATGTCACGTGCGTAACAATGCTACATCCAGCTGCACCCTGCACAAAGATTTTCCAGCTAATGGACCACAAATCGATGTACCGGCAGCCTGAAGGCGATTGTTACTGGGTCAGGTTAATTGCGCAATTAACCCTTCACACTGCCACCACTTCCTTTTTCTACAGAGAAAGAGGAAACTCGGCAATATCAGCAATAACACTATGATGGTTGAGATAATCGTCTGTATAGCACTGTCACCACAGACAGGTTATACAGAGGGTTAAACAAACAGTAGCGCTCTTTTAGAGGCAGGAATTTGTAAGTTGCATTAACGAGCTATAGAATTAGTTCAACACTTTCCGAAAGAAAGATTTATTACTAGAAGGTCAAAAGGGTGCAATAAAAATATTTTTTCACACAAAAAAAGGTATTGCATTAACACATGTTTTGCTATACACATGTTTATTCCCTTTGTATGTATTGGAACAAATATAAAACAGAGGCAGAAAAGCAAATATGACATAATGTCACACAAAACCCCAAAAATGGGCTGGACAAAAGTATTGGCACCCTTAACTTAATATTTGGTTGCACACCCTTTGGAAAACATAACTGAAATCAGTCGCTTCCTATAACCATCAATAAGCTTCTGACACCTCTCACCCGGAATTTTGGACCACTCTTCCTTTGCAAACAGCTCCAGGTCTCTCTTATTGGAAGGACACCTTTTCCCAACAGCAATTTTAAGATCTCTCCACAGGTGTTCAATGGGATTTAGATCTGGGCTCATTGCTGGCCACTTCAGAACTCTCCAGCGCTTCTTTGCCATCCATTTCTGAGTGCTTTTTGACGTATGTTTGGGGTCATTGTCCTGCTGGAAGACCCAGGATCTTGGACGCAAACCCAGCTTTCTGACACTGGGCCCTACAGTGCGACCCAAAATCCTTTGGTAATCCTCAGATTTCATGATGCCTTGCACACAGTCAAGGCACCCAGTGCCAGAGGCAGCAAAACAACCCCAAAACATCATTGAACCTCCACCATATTTTACCGTAGGTACTGTGTTTTGTTCTTTGTAGGCCTCATTCCGTTTTCGGTAAACAGTAGAATGATGTGCTTTACCGAAAAGCTCTATCTTGGTCTCATCTGTCCACAAGACGTTTTCCCAGAAGGCTTTTGGCTTACTCAAGTACATTTTGGCAAACTGTAGTCTTGCTTTTTTATGTCTCTGTGTCAGCAGTGGGGTCCTCCTGGGTCTCCTGCCATAGCGTTTCATTTCATTTAAATGTCGACGGATAGTTCGCGCTGACACTGATGCTCCCTGAGCCTGCAGGACAGCTTGAATGTCTTTGGAACATGTTTGGGGCTGCTTATCCACCATCCGGACTATTCTGCGTTGCAATCTTTCATCAATTTTCCTCATCCGTCCACGACCAGGGAGATTAGCTACAGTGCCATGGGTTGCAAACTTCTTGATAATGTTGCGCACTGTGGACAAAGGCAAATCTAGTTCTCTGGAGATGGACTTGTAACCTTGAGATTGTTGATATTTTGCCACAATTTTGGTTCTCAGGTCCTCAGACAGTTCTCGTCTCCTCTTTCTGTTGTCCATGCTTAGTGTGGCACAGACAGACACACAATGCAAAGGTTAAGTGAACGTCTCTCCTTTTTATCTGCTTTCAGGTGTGATTTCTATATTGCCCACACCTGTTACTTGCCCCAGGTGAGTTTACAGGAGCATCACATGCTTGTAACATTCTTATTTATCCGCAGTTGTGAAAGGGTGCCAATACTTTTGTCCAGCCCATTTTTGGAGGTTTGTGTGACATTATGTCGAATTTGCTTTCTTTCCTCCCTTTTTTTG